TGCCAGGAAGGGGCGGAGCCTCGAGAGGCAGAAGGGTGCAAGCGGTGTGGAGAGCAGAGGAGGGAAGCCAGACTGGCCTGCTTGGGGAACCTGAACCTTAATCATAGGCTCTGAACACCTATAGAATAGAATCATAGAATGTTAGAGTTGGGACCTTGCAGGTCATCTAGTCCAACCCCCTGCACTCTGCAGGAGCACAGCCGAAAGATAGCCCTACATACCCGAAAGATGGCCATCCAGCCTCCGCTTGAAAACGTCCAGCGAAGGAGCCTCCACCACCTCCCGAGGCAGACTGTTCCACTGCTCAACCACTCTCACAGTCAGGAAGTTTATCCTGATACTTAGCCGGTATCGACTCCCTTGTCATTTCCACCCATTCGATCTAGTCTTGCAATCCGGAGCAAGAGAGAATAGATCTGCTCCATCTTCCACATGACAGTCCTTCAAATACTTGTTTAAGGGCTGTGTTGTCTTATGGGGCTCCTGCCAACCTAGCAGTTCGAAAGCACGAAATTCCAAGTAGATAAATAGGTGCCGCTTCGATGGGAAGGTAACCGCGTTCTGTGTGTCTTGGCGTTAAGTCATGCCGGCCACGTGACCACGGAGATGTCTTCGGACAGCGCTGGCTCTTCGGCTTGGAAACGGAGATGAGCACCGCATCCCTAGAGTCGGATTCAACTGGCTTTCGAGCAAGGGGAAACCTTTACCTTTAACCTTTTATCTTATGGGGAGTATATTTGGGACGCTCACCCCGGAAGCCACCTGGTGCACCGACGGCTCAGCTGGAGACTTCCTGGGCCACCAAGAAGAGGAACGAGATGGACTTTGGGGGCAGCAAGCTGTGAAGGAAAGAAAAGCCAATTGTTTGGACTTCAAAAGATCGTCGTTCTGTGGTGTCACTAAGTTCTATATTCTTGTTGCATGATATGATGTTAAGTGAAAAGTGAGGATGTTTTATTCCCTTTGAACGGTTGCAAGAGTCATTCCAAGTTCTGCCTCACAGAATCCACACACTGAGGTTCCACAAGCACGCTGTTTATTCCTGTGGCCGTCACTACGTCCTCTGGCAGCGACTCCCGGATTTGACTCACTCTCTGTGTGAAGTAGTATTTCTTCTCCTCTGTCCCGAACCTACTACCCCATCAGCTTCATTGGGTGCCCTCTAGTATTTTGGGGGAAGAGAGAGAATTTTCTCAGTCCATTCGGCCTCTCAGCACGAAGAACCATCAGAGCGGAGAGGTGCCTCAATTCTCCGGCATTACGCCGTCGAAGGAGCAACCTCTCAAAAGTTCTATGGCCAGGGTCCCTTCAGCTGGGTCCCTGGGGGAGTAGTGAGCTTGCACACCCCCTCCTTCGGCTGGAGCGCAGCTTCACCCCCAGGAGGTTTGGGAAGTGAGTCCGCTAGCGTGCCGCCATCAACCGGAAGTCGAGAGAGAATTTTCTCCTTGTCGGCTCTCTCCACCCCAGGCATAATTTGATAAACCTCTCTCGTGTCCACTGTTCCCTCTAAGCTGAGTTAGTGTGAGCCAGCTCACAGTTTTTTAGCCTCCGGCTCGCACATTTTTGTTTTAGTGCAGGAAGGAGGGCTCCAGGACAAACTGATGTATGCAGGAGCCAAATCGCTGGATCACCACTTGAATGCCAGTCCGTGTTCCCTCTAAGCTAGCGTGAGCCAGCTCACAGTTCTTTAGCCTCCAGCTCACACATTTTCATCTTAGCTCAGGAAGGAGGGCTCTGGAGCAAACTAATTTATGCAACAGCCAAATCGCTGGCTCACAACTTTAAGGCCAGTAACTCACAAAATAGAATGTTTGCTCACAAGACTCCACAGCTTAGAGGGAACATAGCTCACAAAGTAGAATTTTTGCTCACATGACTCCACAATTCAGAGGGAACATTGCTCATGTCCCCCCCCTTTAGTTATCTCTTTTCTCAGCGGAAAAGCCCCAGACTCCTCGGCCTTTCCTCCTAGGGGAGGTGCCTCCAACCCCCTCATCCTCTTGGAAAAGAAAGGTTAAAGCGCTTGGGGCTCTTGAGCTTGGAGAAACGACGGCTGAGGGGCAACACGATCGAGGTTTACAAGATGATGCATGGGATAGAGCAGGTTGAGAAAGAAGTCCTTTTCTCCCTTTCTCACAAGACGAGAACTCGTGGGCACTCCATGAAATTGCTGAGCAGTCGGGTTAGAACGGATAAAAGGAAGTCCTTCTTCACCCAAAGAGTGATTCACACATGGAGTTCACGGCCACAGGAGGTGGCGGCAGCTACAAGCATGGACAGCTTCAAGAGGGAATTAGATAAGCATATGGAGCAGAGGTCCATCAGGGGCTCTTAGCCACAAGGTATAGATAGGAACTCTCGCTCTGGGGGCAAGGGATGCTCTGTATTCTTGGTGCTTTCGGGGGGGGGGCATGTAAGTCGCCCTGAGCCCTACGGGGAAGGGCGGGATATAAATTTAATAATAAATAAATAAACAAACAGTGGGAGGGCTTCTGGAGTTCTGGCCCCACTGCTGGACCTCCTGATGGCCCCTGGTATTTTTGGTCACTGTGTGACACAGAGGGTTGGACTGGATGGGCCATGATTGTCCTGATCCAACATCGGCTTCTCTTATATGGAGCAGAGGTCCATCAGTGGCTCTTAGCCCCAAGGTATAGCTAGGAACTCTTGGTCTGGGCATGGGATGCTCTGTCTTCTTGGTGGTTGGGGAAGGGTCAACGGCGGGAGGGCTTCCAGTGTCCTGGTCCCACTGCTGGACCTCCTGATGGCACCTGGTGTTTTTGGCCACTGTGTGACACAGAGTGTTGGACTGGAGGGGCCATTGGCCTGACCCAACATTGGCTTCGCTTATGTTCTTATCGGTCACCCTCCTCTGCACTTTTTTCAGCTCTACGATATCTGTTTTGAGATACGGTGACCACATCTGTCCGTTTTGAATAGTACAGTTTAAACAACCGGACGCGGTTAGCCAACACCTAGACAGCTGGCTTCAGTTTAGCTCTTTCCCCCGTTTCCCCCACACACACGCCAGGATTTGTCCTGTGGTCCACCGATGGGTTTTTGCGGACTCCAGCTCTCTGGAGCGTTCAGGCATAGCTCCTCCGCGTTACAGAACCGCAGGACCTTTCGGTTTCAGCTCGTTTGTTTAATCTTTTTGGAAACGCAGGTTCAAAGCAATTGCTTGGCAGCGGGTCAAGGCGGAGATTTAGAACAAGAGCAGCGCTGGAGCTCTTTGCCAAGAGCTCAGTGCTGGCCGTGACCGCCTGTGTTGGGCTGCAGTGACCCCCAGTGAGGCACGTGTTCCACTGCAAGACAGCAAGACCGCTCTCGTTTTCCGCTCAGGCAGGTCCGACCAGATTATTTAAACGGGGGCTCCCGTTGCTTTTCTGGGTCTCACAGGGCTTTTATAAAATCGTTTTTCAGCTGGATTTATTCTTTCTTATAAATTTAGTGCGACAGATAGAAAAACTGCGCTTGGGAAACTTATGGCAGAAAGGCAATTTATCTAAAACCAGTGAGCTATTACTAAACCATCAACGCAGAGGTGACAGAGGTGACCACACCTTAAAAAGGATATTATAGCTTTGGAAAAAGTGCAGAAAAGGGCAACTCAAATGATAAAAGGGTTGGAACACTTTCCCTATGAGGAAAAGTTAAGGCGCTTAGGACTCTTTAGTTTGGAGAAAAGATGACTGAGGGGTGACATGATTGAGGTTTATAAGATTATGCATGGGAAAGAGCAGGTAGAGAAACAGATACTTTTCTCCCTTTCTCACAATACAAGAACTTGTGGGCACTCCATGAAATGGCTGAGCGGTCGGGTTAGAACGGATAAAAGGAAGTACTTCTTCACCCAAAGAGTGATTAACACTTGGAATTCACTGCCACAGGAAGTGGTGGCGGCTACAAGCATGGACGGCTTCAAAAGGGAATTAGATAAGCATATGGAGCAGAGGTCCATCAGTGGCTATTAGCCACAAGGTATAGATAGGGACTCTGGGGCAAGTGATGCTCTGTCATCTTGGTGCTTGGGGGGGGGGTCAACAGTGGGAGGGCTTCTAATGTCCTGGCCCCACTGGTGGACCTCCTGATGGCACCATCTTATAAACCTCGATCGTGTCACCCCTCAGCCGTCATTTCTCCAAGCAAAAGATCCCCAAGTGCTTTAACCATTCCTCATAAGGAAAGGGTTCCAACCCTTTGATCATTCTAGTTGCCCTTCTCTGCACTTTTTCCAGTGCTATAATATCCTTCCTGAGGTGTGGTGACAGAACTGCACACAGTACTCCAAATGGGGTTGCACCATCGATTTATACAGGGGCATTATGCAATTCTCTCCCCCCCCCTTTTCCGTCATACTCAGATGGGGCTGCTGGAGGTCCTGGATTAGTGTTGGGGAAGGATAATTGGCCAGATGAGGGCCAATGAATGAAACCTCAGGTATTTATATTTAATTCATTTATACCCCAACTTTCTCCCCAGTGGGTAACCAAAGCAGCTTATATTATTCTCCTCCATTTTTTCCCTCACAACAGCCCTGTGAGGTAGGTCAGGCCGAGAGATTGTGACTGGCCCAAGGTCACCCAGCAAGCTTCCAGGGCACGAGTGGGGATTCGACCCTGGATTTGAATGTCCCAGTTTATGGAGTGTCCCCTTAAAAATTTAAATGCCCCCCAACCAAAAAATCCTGGCTATGGGCCTGACCCTAGTTCTAAAAGAACTATTTACATTACGAACACATTTCAATAGACCACTGGCAACTGGGGGAAGTGTAACATGTACAAATGGTGATAGAAGTAATAAAGAAGAGAACGTTTTATTAACTTAACACTTCATTCAACTAAAACCACATCATACACACACACACAAAAAATACTTCCAACAGAATCAAAGTGCAAAAATGTTCAGTCCACGTTTATAATACACCCATTGTCTTTGAGGAGGAAAACCAGCTTTGGGAAGGAAAGGGGAGGCTTTCCAATAGCGCTCTTAAGACGTACCGCGGCCGAGAGCGGGACCGAATCGTGGCCGCCTGGAAGAGGGTCGCCCTGAAACCAAAGTCGAGGGAGACATGCTAGAAGCGCGCCGGGATTGGAAGAGGCGCACTGGCCTTTCTCGTTCCCCTCCGAGAAGGGCGGGCTACCAAATGGATGCAGATGGCTAATGGGGGAATGAGCGACACAAGGAGCGCGGCCTCGCTTGGTTCTGGACACGTGCCGTGTACAAAATACAGACGCGGAAGCGCACGAGCCTCCCTCTCGTTTCTGAACGTTCACTAGAACCACCTTCTTTCTTTAAAAAAAGAACGCAACACAATTTCACCCTCCGTTTCTAGGACTCCGACTTGTCCGTGGCCGATCTTGCACGAAACTGCACCAGAGAATAGGGTTATGGGACGACACCCCGGGGGTGGTTTTATCCCGCAGATTTGATCCACTTGAGGAGGGAAAGGCCATAGAACAAAACACTTCTACCTGGCCTTTCCTCTTAACCTAGGCCTCCGAGGTAATACGCAACGCTGTGCCTCCAATGGTGAGCAGATGCAGTTTATGTTTAATTTTAAGACTTTCAGAGGGTGGGGGGGAGCATACGTGGGTTCCCCGTTGCTCGAAACCTCCCGGGGGCCGGCTCCAGACCCATTTTGCAAAGGTGTGCCCAGGGACTCCGTTGCTGGATCTTCCCCGCTGATTGCAAGCGTGAACCACAACAGCCGGCTGCATTGTAACAGTGAACTCGCAATTTTTTTTGGAGGGGAGGCTCCCCATTTGTTATCATGGATGGTGAAGAAGCTCCCGTTCAGAGCTATTTTCACCACAACAGGACTGAGAACATTAGAACATTTCCTTAGTTAAAAGAAAGCTGGGAGTTCTCTCTACGCTGCTACTGTAAACCTTCCCAGCATTCTTTGCTTCCTTTAGAACACAGAAAGAGCCAGTATTCTAATCTCGTTCAGGTCAATGAGACCTGTTTGTGGAATAAAGATTCCCTTAACGTTACCCCCAAAAAAGGGAGGGTTAACCAATGAAATGCATTTTTGTAAAAAAAAAGAAAAAAGATAATGACTCCTCATACATCGGCCTGGTAACAATCCGTCCACGCTTGCATCTCAGGAGGAAAGACCTGCCTGAACCACCTAGCCGACCCACGGCGCATTTCGGAGAGCGCTTCTGATATTTTTTCCCCCCTCCGTGCCCAGTTTTTAAATAGCCTTCCCCTCGCAAGAGAAGACCTGCTGGGATGAAGAATGGGAGTCAAAGGGTGGTGTGCCACGTGCTACCCGCCAGAGAGGTAAAAAAAAACAAACCCCCGATGGCCTTTCACAGTTAACAGAAAAGTAGAACACAGGAGGAGAGAGGAAAAGAAGGGGAGGGGGGGGGAGAAACAGCTTTCCCCAAATGGAATCAACCGGATTTTCAAGCATCCTCAACAATGAAAACACACGGATAGCATCAGCTAGTAAACCCTTAATGAGTCAGCTTTCAGGACATGCAATAGAGGTGGGCACATTCCTCCCTACCTCGCTTGTGGGGAAGGAGAAATGACGGCATCCCAACAGAATGCTTGTTCCGGGGAAGAATTGAACCTTTCTTGTGCTTTTTCCTGCAAGCGTTTTCAGGTCTCCGCCACAAAAACCCACCCGATGCCGAGCAACGGCTTGCAGAGTGACATGAAAATTTTGTTCTCGTGTTTGTTTGTTCGAACCGTCCATGAGAAAGATGGCTCTCGCCCTCACTTAAAAAAACAACAACAAACCACAACTAGATTTAGAGAGAGAGCCTCAAAGCCCCTGCGCTTGAACGGCGACGCATTTGTGAGACGGGAAATCGGATCTCAGAGCACGACAGATTTCTGACGGGAGAAAAGATCTGCCCTGAATTTCTTTGGATGCCTTCCTACACTTTAAAGAAAAAAAATCAACCAAATCAGAAGAGCCCTGTCATTTCAGAGCTTTCCCATAACGTTCCTGCAGTATGCTGCATATACATATATTAAATACAGAGTCAATGAAAGAGGAAAATGAAGTCCTTAAAAAAAAAAAAAAAGTTTTGGCATTCAGTACATTCCACTCAAAGGTATGCACAATCTGGAAGGCGTTTCAGCTTTAAATAAAAAGAATAAATAAATATCCCATCACATCAATCAAAGACAAAATCCCGCGGCAATATCCCCTATTCTACAGGACACACCCAGGAGAAGTTCCTGGCAGGCGGTGCCCCCTAAAGCCTGGCGCAGGGCAGGCGGTTTCCTGCCGTCTTCATACATTCAGGTACGGCTAAGGTACTTTGTTACGCCACACATCGAAAAAGCTCCACTCGGCGTTCGACACCCACCCACCCCCAAACACAAAAGAAATGACCATCTCGCCGGGTGGTTAGTCAGGTCGTCTGCACCCCCTTACTAGTTCTAAGTTCTAACCCAAAGGGGGGAAAAGAGAAAGGCAGAGTCAAACAACAGAGGCCAAGCTAAACCATTCAGGCTACCTAAACTCAGAATACGCTTTTGGCCTGTTCCATTAACCCGAAGGAAGTTTCTAGAGAGGAAGGAGTGCTTTGGAAACACGGAGGTCAGGCAGGCTCCGGCGGGCTACTGATTTATTGGTAGTGTGCCAGAACGGGCAGTGTCTAGAAGGTTTCCCTTCTTAGGCAGCAGGTGGCATGACCACCAGCCGTAGTCTGGACTGTTGTCCAGCGTGAGAGAGACCTGCCATGCACAAAAAACTGTCTCCTCGACATGCTGGTTCTCTACGTGGAAGGGATTTATAAGACATGGAGGTGCAATCGGTTACATAAGCCCCCCTTCTCTGGCATGGACCACCCCAGATGCCAATCTGGAGCAGCAGCGAGATCTCCCTCCACCTTTCCCCGGCGACTTCAAAGCCGGGAGGTAAAGCCAACTGCGATACTGTCTGGACGGCCACAGGACACACATCACTTCAGTGGGCCCCGGAGGCTTGATGGAAACAGGGCCTCCGAGCACTGAACGGCATACGCCCCAGGCTCCGCTTGCTTGGGGGGGTCTTTCTAGCCTCGTCGGACCACCAGATGACCCTGTGCACGCACACCATGCGCAGTCCCTCTTCCAGCTCTCCCACATTCTTATTTTCATCACGTCTGAGTTCCTATTTCTTTTGGGGTTTCCCCCTTTTCTGCACATGTTTTGCTCCGTGCGCAGTCCCTCTTCCAGCTCTCCCGCATTCTTATTTTCATCACTTCTGAGTTCCTATTTCTTTTGGGGTTTTTCCCCTTTTCTGCACGTTTTGCTCCCTCTAGTGGTCGGTTCAATATCACA